ATATATATATATATATATTAACTAAGTACACCTCCTTTTCTTTTTTAATAAAAATAAATTCTTCAAAACGTAAAAAAAAAGGAGAAAATTATAAATTAAACAATAAAAGAGTAAAATTAAAAAAAATACAAAATTAAAAATTAAAAATATTTTAAAAAATAATAAAAAAAAAGAAAGTATACTTATTATAATAAAAAGGTGGTGTATATATCATCAACCTAGGCTGGAATAAAATAACAGAAATTGATTATCTTACTTAAAAGACTCAATCATATGATTATCCATGAATTATGTCAGATTTTATTGGTAATCCTCAATCAATATGGTCTTAAATTATTTTATACCGATTTAAAAAATTAATAAATAATTATAAATAATAATAATTTTACAAAATTAACTAAAAAAATACAATACAACACCATAATCTAAAAAAAATATGAGGTATGAATTGCGCAAAAAAAAAGTAATTAATAATGCATTATTTTTACACTGACAATTAATACTATATTAAAAAATTAACATGTATTATCCGTATCGCTAAGTCGAGTTCGAGCTCGGCATCACAGCGCGAGTCGACATTGGACACGTGCTGCTCGACATCGGCCAAAACAAGGCCCACCATCTAAACAGATTATAACCGATCTCAGGCCCAAGGCCCAATAAAACCCTAATTCACACTAAGGTACATGCTTTACTTATCCGAGCCTCACCCATCCACAAACACTAACTTTAGCATTGAAGTCTCTTTTGCAGGTATCACCCCCACTTGGAATAACAATCGTACCCAACAAAGGAGGCTCACCGATCTTGCCCAGCAGATCGTCCCTACGACCAATCTCTGGTAAGAACATTTGGCGCCCACCGTGGGGCCGATCAAGACAGCTCTTATCTGCCACGCTTATGGTTTTCACCCGAAGCCATACTAGACGAGCAACAGACGACCTAGATCGCACAACTAGAATGGATAGCGAAGCAGCACTGAGAAGACTGATTGAACAAGTCGAACAGATGCGGCAGCAACACGACGTCGACCTGCAGAACATTTTTGCCAAGCACGAAACCGACCTAGCAGCGCTGGGTGCCGCGAATGAAACTGACCTAGCGGCGCTACGCCCCGAGAATGAGCGTATTCGCGCCCAGCTCCCTCGGCGCCCTTTTGATCAACCCCTTCAACCGAGTAATCAACACGAGGAAGAGGGGCACTCGGTCTCTCAACCACTGACTGCACCTAGGGCACCGACCCCAAGGCCTGCCACACATCGGTCGCACGCGCCAACGAACAGGTCGACCCACGAAGTAAGCAACGCGCCCGCCCAGGATCTAGGACATAGGGCAAGCATCCGCCGCCACCCCTTCGTGGACGGCATTATGGAGACGCCCCTCCCTTTTGGATGGAAGCCTCTCAACATCGACCGTTATGACGGAAGTGCTGACCCGGACGAGCACATCAACCTATACATTACACAGGTAAACCTATACACTAATGATGATGTTATTCTGTGTAGGGTTTTTTCGACCTCGCTCAAGGGGGCAGCACTTGCCTGGTATACCCAACTGCCGGCGGGATCAATCGCCAGCTTCGACACCCTGGTCAGACGGTTTATGGCACAGTATGCAACGAGTCGACCTCATCACGTTACATCAGTCGCTTTGGCCAGTCTCAGACAGAGCGACGACGAACCACTGAGGACATTCATGGAGCACTTTGCTAGCATCTCGGTTAAGATTCGAAATTTGAATCCCGAGGTCGCCCTACATGCCATGCTCATGGCACTCAAGCCAGGACCGTTCATCGACAGCCTGTGTCGGCGACCTCCTGTTGACATGGACGAACTCCGTGCCCGAGCTACAGGGTACATCCAGATGGAAGAACACTCTGCCTTTCGTGACCAGGTTCGCAGAAAATCACAGGTCAAGTCGGATCACGGGCACAAAGACAAGATGAAGGGCACCAATGATAGTCAGTTTAAGAAGGCTGCTCGGACAAATAAAGGGGGAAGGTACGACTTCTACACCTCCCTGAATGCGCCCCGAGTACACATCCTGGAGGAAGCCAGCAACAATAACCTGCTCACCCTACCACCCCCTGGACACAGTCCCGACACCGCGGACAAATCCAAGCATGCACTGCCGGTATCATAGGAACCATGGTCACACAACTGAAGAATGCCGCACACTCAGAGATCGTATAGAGGAACTCGTCTAGGCGGGACACCTTGGGCAATACATCCAGCGACAACAAGGTCACCGAGGAGGCTACAACGGACGAGGACGAGGGCGAGGTCGCGGTTCAGGCACTCGCACAAACCAACCTTCCAGATCTCAACAAAACGTTGGTGGCACAGTGCAGGCCGAGGTAAGCCAAGAAACGGGGTCAGCTCCCTTACAGGGAGTTATCAACACAATTGCAAGTGGTTTCGCAAGGGGAGGCTCTAGCAGCTCGGTGCGGAAAAGACACCTGCGCAGCATCAACAATGTTAACTTCTCTACCTCGGCCTCGCACCAAAGCTCACCACCAATCACCTTCACTGACGACGACTACACTGGCATCTGTCTAAATCAAGATGATCCAATGGTCATCGCTGTGGAGGTCGCCAATTGGGAGGTCCACAAGATGCTGATCGACCAAGGCAGCTCGGTTGACGTCCTATACTGGCCGAAGTTCCTTAGGTTAGACATCCCTCACTCCCTCATCCAACCTCATACAAAGCCCCTAGTCGGTTTTGCAGGAGAGCGAGTCCACACTCGAGGATACATGGACCTGCTGACAACCTTCGAAACCTCTCCTGACTCAAGGCGGATCATGGTCCGATACCTCCTCGTGGAAGCCAACACATCTTACAACATAATCATTGGAAGGCCGAAATTGAACCAACTCGGAGCAGTGGTGTCTACCCCGCACCTCACAATGAAATTCCCAGGGAGTGGTGGTAAGATCATCTCCGTCAAGGCGAACTAGAAGACAACTTGGCAATATTATGCCGAGAGTTTGAAAGTCTCACCATCCGAAGAGCGCCACAAAAGTGACCCTCCTACAGTAGCTCACATCACCCAGGTTAAAATCACTGACCTGGACCCGAGGTCAGAATCCCATGACGAATGACCAAGTCCCATTGACGAGCTTGATGATCTTCAAGTCGGCAAACTCCCTGGACAATGTACAAAGATAAGCAGACAGCTAAACCCAGAATCACGGCAGCAACTTGAAGCTGAAATCTCTAGGAACTCTGACCCTTTTGCATGGTCAAGTGCCGATATGCCAGTTATAGACGCTAACTTCATCTGTCACAGTTTGGCAATCCACAAGGAGGCAAAACCAATGGCCCGGAGGAAGCAGAAGGTCGGTGGTGAGAGACGAGAAGCCATCATCACCGAGACACAAAAACTGCTGAACGTGGGCTACATCCGCGAAGTCAGATACACCACGTGGCTGGCAAATGTGGTACTGGGGAAAAAGAGCTCGGGGAAGTGGCGTATGTGTGTTGGCTACAACGACCTGAACAAAGCATTTCCCAAGGACTCGGACCCCTTACCGAGCATCGACAGGATAGTCGATGGGGCATCCGAGCACGCCCTCCTTAGCTTTCTAGATACCTACTCCGGGTACAACTAGATTATGATGTACCCACCGGACGAGGTGCACACGTCATTCATCACTGACCACGCCAATTTTTGCTACCAAGTGATGTCATTCGGTCTCAAAAATGCAAGAGCCACCTACCAACAACTGATGGATAAAGTTTTCCACCAGAAGATTGGGTGGAATATGGAGGTCTACGTTGACGACATGGTCGTCAAAACCACTTCAGCCGAAGGTCATTCTGCTGACCTAGCCGAGGTGTTCATTCATATTAGAAAACACAACATGCGCCTCAACCTAGAGAAGTGTGTCTTCGGCGTCCAGGGAGGTAAATTCCTTGGTTTCATGATCACCAGAAGGGGCATCGAAGCCAACCTGGAGAAGTGCAAAGCCATCATCCAGATGCAAAGCCCTTAGACTGTCAAAGACGTCCAGCACCTGGCAGGAAGGTTGGTTTCTCTTTCACGTTTTATCCCTAGGTTGGCGGAGAAAGCAGGGCCCATCTTCACCCTGCAACAGAAGCCGAAAAAATTCGAGTGGACGGACCAGTGCGAAGAGGCCTTCAAGAGCTTCAAAGTCTTCCTCACGACTCCACCAGTCCTCCAAAGGCCGGATCACTACGCCGACCTCCTCCTCTACCTGGCCGTGGTAGAAGGCGCAATCAGCGCAGTTATAGTGTAAGAGCACCAGAAGGTGCAAACATCGATCTACTTCATCAGTCGAGTCCTTCAAGACACGAAAAAATGGTATCAGACGATTGAGAAGCCTGCACTAGCACTTGTCACTGCAGCTCGGCGTCTTCGACCTTATCTTCAAAGTCACCAGGTGGTCGTCAAAACTGACTACCCGATCAAGCAAATCTTGAGAAAGCCAGAGCTCGCAGGCCGGATGATAGCATGGTCGGTAGAGTTGTCCGAGTTCAGCATTAAGTATGAAATTCGCGGCCCCCTGAAAGCTCAATGCCTGGAAAATTTTGTGGCCGAACTGACTCCAACCTCGGCCGACCAACCACAGGTATGGACTTTACATGTTGATGGGTCCTCCAATTCTAAGGGCGGCGGTGCAGGGATTATCTTGGAAGGACCAAATGAAGTCGCCTTAGAGCAATCTCTTAAGTTTGGCTTCAAAGTGACCAACAACCAGGCAGAATATGAAGCGCTTCTCGCAAGGCTAAGGTTGGCTCACGACCTCAGAGCGTGGAGAGCGAGTTGCAACAACGACTCAAAGCTCATGGTGGAACAGCTCAGCGGGACATACCAGACTAAGGATACCCTACTGCAGAGGTACTTCCATGTAGCCTCCCAACAGATCTCTTCCTTCGAAGAATTCACAATACATCATGTACCCCGAGAGCAAAACGCCAGAGCCAGCCTCTTATCAAAGCTCGCCAGTACCAAACGCCCTGGACAACATCGAACCATCATCCAGGAGACCCTGAATTCACCCAGCTTGGACGACAAGGTCGTCAACACCAGTGATAGCGAAGACCAAGGATGGATGACAGGTATTTGGAACTACCTGAAGGAGGGAATTTTATCCGAGGATAAAGATAAAGCTCGGAAGATGAGGGTAAGGTCAGCTAAGTTCATCATTGTCGGAGACGAACTGTTCAAGTGCGACATCTCCACCCCATTGCTCAAATGCTTGATAGAGCCTCAAGCCACTTATGTCATCGAGGAAATCCATCGAGGGATATGTGGTATGCACTCCGATACACGCTCGATGGCGACCAGGGTACTCCAAGCTGGATACTACTAGCCCACGTTAAGTCGGACTGTCAAGCCTACGTATAGAAATGCAAAGAATGCCAGCAGTTCAGCAATGCACATCGAGAACCGCCCGAAGCCCTCCACTAGATGATGACGTCGTGGCCCTTTGCTCAGTGGGGAATGAACATCCTCGGGCCATTTCCCCCGCGAAAGGTCAACTCAAATTTCTTTTGGTGGCAATAGACTACTTCACCAAGTGGATCGAGGCATGCCCACTCGCCAAGATCACCGCCGAGAATGTACAGAGATTCACCTGGAAGAACATCATATGCAGGTTTGGCATTCCACATTCTCTGGTCACCGACAACGGCAGGCAGTTCATTGCGCAGAGTTTCAAAGACTTCCTCCGTGAACTCAGAGTCAAACATATCCCAACCTCAGTGGAGCACCCACAGACCAATGGCCAAGCCGAAGCTGCAAACAAGGTGATACTCCGAAAGCTCAAGAAGTGGCTAAGATGCGCCAAAGGACAATGGGTCGACGAGATCCCCAGCATCCTCTAGGCGTACCATTGTACCCTCAATCAACAACGCAAGAAACGCCTTACAGGCTAACCTATGGAGCCGATGCTATGATCCTAGTGGAGGTCGGTGAGACGTCTCATCGATGTCGTGTTTTCGACAGTGAGCAAAAAGCGCAGGAGACAGCAACCAACCTCGACCTGATTGACGAGCTCAAAGAAGAAGCCCGGATCCATGAAGAAGTTTGTAAGCTCCGAGCCTCCAGAAGGTACAACACGCGAGTCCAACCTCGCTCCTTCAGGGTTGGCGACTTGGTGTGGTGACTTTTAGGAGACGCCCGTAGGGATTCGTCAGAAGGGAAGCTCGCGCTTAACTGGGATGGCCCACTCCGAGTCACAGAAAACTTAGAAAATGGAGCATACCGACTAAAAGAGCTCAGCGGCAAAGCCATCCCGAGAACTTGGAATGCCATGCATCTAAAGTTCTACTTCAGTTGAAATTGTACGAATGAGCTGTGCACTCTTTTCCCGACTCAGTCTTTTGTCCCAAGAAACAGAAAAATGGGTTTTGGCTGAGAGGGTTTTTAATGAGGCACACCCATAACATTAATAAAATGACTCATTCCATTCATGACTTCTTGATTTTACCCTGTTTTATTATAAAATGCATTATCTTAAGTCGAGGTCGAGTTCGAACCTTAGTGCGAATTATTTTACTTTACGCTGAGGTCGAATTCGAACCTTAAGAACAAAATCTTAACTCGAGGTCGAGTTCGAACCTCGGTACACATTATTTTACTTTACACTGAGGTCGAGTTCGAACCTTAGTATGAATTGTTCTATCTTATATGAGGTCGAGTTCGAACCTTAGTATGAATTGTTCTATCTTACCCGAGGTCGAGTTCGAACCTTAGTATGAATTGTTTCATCTTACCCCGAGGTTGAGTTCGAACCTTAGTATGAATTGTTTCATCTTACGCCGAGGTCGAGTTCGAACCTTAGTATGAATTGTTCTATCTTAACCTTAGGACGAGTTCGAACCTTAGTACGAATTATTTTATCATTATGTTGAGGTCGAGTTAGAACACTGATGCGTAATCTTAAGCCAAGGTCAAGTTCGAACCTTAGTGCGAATTATCCTATCCTATGCTGAGGTCGAATTCGAACCCTGGTGCAAATCACTTTAAACTAAGTCAAGTTTAAACGTGTTTTCAAACCACAAAAAACGGGCAAAAACTAAGCCTAAAACATGAGCGCAAAACCAAACGTAAAAATAAAACCATCAAAAGTGTAAGACGAAAAATAATATATACACAGCAAGTTTGCAAGTTCAAAAGCATGAATCCAAAGGGAAAGAAAAAAAGAAAAAAACCAAGCTAAGTTATTACAAAACTAGCCTAGGTGGAGGCATTCTCACTCCAGCTATCCGGGAGGCCGTCTTCCTTCACCAATTGCCCGAAGCGCACCTCTTTCTCCTCATGCATAGCGGAGAGGTCGACCCCAGGAGCAAGCAACCTCGCCTGACGAGCCGTCTTGACGAAGCCTTTCTTATGCTCGAACAAGACAGCTCGCTCAGTCTCGATAAGCTTCCTATCCAGCTCTGCCTTAGCATCGACCATCTAATCAAGGTCCGCCTTCAGAGCCGCGACCTCCTCTTCCTTGCCGCTAATAAGCACCTCGTCACAAAGACGCGTCTCAGCAGCTTGCCTCAGCTCGGCCTTCAACGTCAAAACCTCGTCTTCGAGAGAACGCACTCTACCCCGGGAAAAAGTGGAGAGCTCCTGAAGCTCGCCAACTTGAGCAGCGTAGACCTCATTAGCCCTCAAGGCGATCTCCAAAGATTTCTGAACCCTTGCCAGATCCCTCCTCGTGGCTTGAAGCTCAGCCTCGTTCTGCCTCTTAGCCTCACCCAGGGCGGACCCCAACGCCCGATTCTCCTCCTCTAGAGGCTGGACTCGGTCCTTCATCTTCTCAAGGTCCCCCTGCTGCTTGGACCACCTATGCTTCTAATGGTCCACAATAGCCATTGCCCTCTGCATGAAGACCTCCGTAGAGTCAAGGCCCTCCACTGGCTCGACCTTCTCGATCATCGCCTGGTCAGCCGACCGTAGCGAACCCCTAGGATAGAAGGTCTTCGCGATCACCCCCGAACTCCACAGTGAGTCCACATCCGAGGAGGCGCTCACGTGATCCAACCTCGTCAAAGGAGCCTCCTTCAAAGGGAGAGATGGCGGTGCAGTGGCTGCAGGGTTAGGCGTTGGGACCTCGGAGCTCGGTCCCTCTTCGCAGACCTCGGTGGGAGTGGAAGCAGATGCCACCTGCGCAGCAACAGAGGCGTTCAGGCCCGGCGTTCCCGAGCTCGATTTCGCTCGGACCTCAGTGGCAGTCGGCTCAGGCCCTGCCTGCACACAACAAAAAAAAAATTTCCTAAGCCACAAAACAAGAAGACAGGCAGTATAGAAGTAAAATCACAAGGAAATGCACAAACCTCGGCAGCATGGGCAACCTCCTCAACGGCCACTTGGCAAACTCCCTCAGACGGAGGACTCCTAGTGAGGTCGACTGCGTCGGCGTCAGCAGCCTTCGAAGTCACCTCCTCCGAATCTCGAGGGGCAGAGGACCCCACGATCTTCTTCTCCCCCCTCTTTCTTTTTCTACGAGTTTCCAAAGGGGCAATCTCCTCCTCTTGAGGCTTAGGGACCTCGATCTCGCAACGTTATAGCCAAACTTCAACTCGTGCCACTTGCTCCTTCCCATTATGCCTGCAAGAACAAAAGCCAAGTACATCAGTAAAAGAAAATTTTACAACCCCTGACAACTAGGGAGGACAAGGTACTCACTCTCTAGACCTCTTTCCTTGTACGCCGAGTTAGCAAGCGACAAGACGAGCTTGCAATCCAAGGGACGAGGAAGCTCTTCTAGGTCTTTAATGGCAGCAGCGTCTGAGGTCGTCAATTGAAGGTTGGTCGATCTGTTAAACCTGACCGGAGCCTGCTGCCAGTAGAGAGGGAACCTCGGCAACCCGCCAAAGTGGAACACTTCATCTTTCAATGGGTCGACTTCCTTGGGCAGAACCCGGAAGAACTCTTGTTTGAAATTCTTGTAAGACTGGGAGTAAAGAGAAAATAGCCCCCCCGCCTTACTCCCATTCAAAGACACCCAACCATAGGGAGGTACGCCCAATTTCAATTGATAAAAATGAAGGAAAACAGGCAGAGACAACCCTACCCCTAGGGTCGAGCATAGGACTTGAAAAGCCCTCAAAAAACCCCAACTATTGGGGTGCAACTGGCAAGGAGCCGAGTTGACAAAATTCAAAAAATCGCACTCAATTTGGGTAAAGGGAAGGCATACGCCTAAATCCCTAAAGAAACACTGGTACATGTAGAAAAAAGGAGGATTGGAAGTACCCCCCATATATACACGCTCGCCGGGCTAACAAGGTTCAAGCCGGATGAGCTTAGAGATGGATGATTGGCAGGTCCTGTGCGATTTCCACATTGCATTGATCTCCAAGAACGACTTAAAGACGCTCTGGAACTCTCCGACGTCACTCATGACCCACTCGTAGCCAGAGATGACGGGGAAGGGTTCCCTGGGTTGGTTCCCACCCTTTTTCTTTTCAGCAGCGACCGTCTCGACGACCACCGCCTTGCCGCGCGCCTTGCCCCTACCCTTGGCCGGAGTAGAGGGGGCGGCGCCACTATCACCAACCATCGACAATAGAAAGATCCGAAAAATGGAAAAGACGAAGAAGAAGGGGAGGAAGATCGACAGCGAGGAAGAACGAGAAGAGAGGACAGAGAGAACGAAGTACCTGGTACTCCTTTGGTAATGACAGAACAGTGATGAAATACGGGGACCTGATTACTATCGGAGACCCGATTTTCGGCAACAGTGACGACGGAGACAAGAAGGTTAGAAGACGAAGAATGAGAAGGGAAAGGGAAAGCGTCGAGAGCACGCCAAGCGCAAAAGAAGAAAAGGTAAAATGAATATGGAAGGACGCGTGAAAGGGAGAGAGAAAAGGAGTCTCAAAATTTGAAAACGGACATGGCACATGGCACAGAAACGACAAAAGTGATGGGCATTAAATGAAGCCCATTATGATGGGTACGACCATCATTGCAAAACCGTCAGTGCTCATCAACACACCGCCTGCACGTTTCGGAGAATGACGTGACGGTTATGACACATGGGATCAGGACAGAGAGGCGTACGCGAAGAGTCACGACCCCTTGTCGAGCTCGGTCTTAACTCCTTAACCCACGGTCTTCGGAGCTCGGGGGGCAAGTGTACTATCCGTATCGTTAAGCCGAGCTCGAGCTTGGCATCATAGCGCGAGTCAACATCGGACACGTGTTGCTCAACATCGGCCAAGACAAGGCCCACCATCTAAACAAATTATAACCGATCTCAAGCCCAAGGCCCAATAAAACCTTAATTCACACTAAGGTACGTGCATTACTTATACGAGACTCATACATCTACAAACACTAACTTTAGCATCGGAGTCTCTTTTGCAGGTA